GCTTGTAGGCATTCCCTGGGGACCACGCAGCAGCCCAGCACACTGTCAGGGGATGGTCCTGCATGAGGCATTGACCGTGAGGGCGTTCATCCAGAGAGGTCCACCCTCTGTGCACGTCCCTTCATGGTGGGTGGGAATGTCTTTGCTGGCTGCTGCAAGCTGCTGCCCTTCCTGAGCCGTGCCCAGGCTTCCTAGGCTGGGAGACAGGAGCATCAGTCCCTCTGGGGCAATATTTATAAACTGGCTGTGAAGGACTCATCGTCTGTGGTCCTCTGGAGACCAAGATCCCTGACCTGGTGTCTCTGGCCATCCCAGGGAGCTGCACCTGTGCTGTGGGTGTGTTCAGCACAGGGGATGGTGAGAAGCTCTGGCTTCCTGCAGGGTGGGGGGCTCTGCCCTGAGTCAGCTTTTTCCCTTTGGAGTTGTCCCTTAAGTATGGGCCAGCCAGCCACAAGCCCAGGTGGCTGACACAAGTTATGTGTGGAGAATAGGAGTATAATTACCCATTTTTGCTGCATAATTAGCTCTTCAGATTTGTGAAGCTAAAGTGCTGTCTCTACTGGAATCTGTGAGCTGAAGGACTTGGAGCACTGGACATGATGGGAGAAATTGTACAAGGGCTTTAAGTGCTCTCCTTCTCACAATGCCTATTGTGTGCCATGACCTTCAGCCAGATCACCAGGTGCTGGCTCTGATGTGAGATGTTGAGGGGTTCATGAAAGGCCTGGTTTCCCTTCCTTAGCAGAGATGGGCTTTCACTCAAAGCATCTCTGAGCTGCTCAGTGCAGGTGGACGTGGCCACCACCTGTGTTGGTGCACAGTTTGATCAGTCTGCAAGGCTGAGGTGCTGCAGAGTGAGAGCATGTCCCTGGAGCAGTCCCAGGAGCAGGTATCCTTCCACCCTGGGGAAGGGACAGAGAGGGGGAAGTGTCTACATGCAGCTTCAGGTTGCTGTGCTGCTCACAGTCCTGTGGCAGGCAGAGCCCTGGGGCTCTCACTGCCAGCCTGTCCCTGTGCCAGGGGCAGGTGCTGTCACCAGTGCTTCTACACACAGGCTGACCTCTGGCACTGTCCACAGCTCTGGGGGCACTGAGCTAACCACCAGTTAACCAACAGAAATAATTCTTACAAGTTTAAAAGCAATTTTGTTATCTACATGTAATGGTTAAACGATGAGGGTATTGTTCAAAGAGTAATTAGGAAAATAGATTGAGTGCTCGTGGATGGGAGAGTAAAATAAATGCTGTGAAGGAAGTTCTGTACTGAGCATAAAATTGGAAGTTTGATTCAATTATTCTTCACACACTGTTTAGATCCCACAGAAAGCTGAGCATGGAACTCTTCAGCCTCTCTAATTGAAACAAAAATCATTGGAGTGGAAAGTGTCCTGGCTCTTCAGGAGATGTCAAAGTACAGAACATGGCAGACACCTGGGGGTTTGGGAAACTGTGACAGCTACAAGCCGACCTTTGGCAAATTTAATCTGCAAATGGATTCCTGCTTAGGACAGCTAATGCTTTTAGTTATTGTAAAGGCTTGTTCCTGGGTTTTAAAAAGCTGAGAATAAATGGATTTCATGATGCAGCTCCTATGCGTGTTGCATAACAAACAGGTTGCTTCTGGATCTGTTTAAATGATACAGTGCATTGAAAAACTTTGCAGAACTTATGAATACGTAAGTATAGTTCATGCACAACGGGGGAATGATTTTTGCTACTTAATAAAGGAGAAGGGCCTTGGCACTTGTTAAAATGAAAATACGCTGAAGACGTGTCTACTGAAAAGGAAGGGAAGGAGGTCCCTGGTTGTTTTTGATATTCATGGGCATTGCAGGGGCTTGTTACTCAGCTGGGCATTGCCTTTGGCCTGAGGTTTGGCATCTGGGGTCTGGTGGGAGGAGGTAATATGGTAGCAATTGCTTATTCAAAACCTGTCTTTATTTTTCTTGTCTGAAGCTGCTCTTGCCTCTTACAGGACACCTGCAGGTGAGTGTAGCTTGTAGACAGAGAGGGATTTCCTGGGGACAGTGTTGTGGTGCAGCTTCAGCCTTTCTCTGTCTCTCTTTTCCTGCGGGAGGTCCGTGTCCTTCCCTCGGAGACAGGACTGCACAGGCAGGAGCCAGCAGCACTCCAGTCCTGTGCTGTGCTGGGGTCTGCTCCCCTGGGCTGTTGCATGCACGAGGAGCTGCCAGCAACATAAAAATTATTTCTGGAGCATGATGTTAGTGCTGTGGCTGTGTTTGGCCTGCAGGAGAGCTTTGGTCAGCATATCTTTGCTGTGCTGCAAAGCCATAGCCAGGTCCTGTGCCTTTCCACAGGGAGTGAATTCAGACTAGCCTGTGGCTTCCACCCACTGCAGCCAAGAGCAACCTCAGCCTCAAATACAAGGTGTTTTCTTGACTTAAACGTGTACGTGGTGATTATAGCAAGTAAATCACATTCCAGTATAATTCAGTGAAGGCTTGGACATAGAGACTTCAGGCTTATGCCTGTCTGATGAATGCTTCTGGCTTGTCACATTAGTAATCCCTGTATTAATGAGTGGCCTGTGACATGATGTGGTTGACTGACAAATCCTGAAGTTATATATGCATACGAGTAAGTGCCAGAGTTCTCCAAGGTGCAGTTTTACAATGTCTTGTATCAGCCTCTATGTGACAGCGTGTCAGAAAACATCCTGGGGAGGCAGGCAGCTGTGGGCCCGGGAATTCACCTTTCCTCATAAGGTCACAGTGGGTAGAACAAGCTCTCCCTCTCTTGCCTCTCGTCTGAGAGTGTCTGCACACTCCTCCAAGGGATGTGCGGTGCTGGTGTGGCACAGGTGTGCTGCTGTGGGGGTGCTGGGGGTGCTGGGGATGCTGCTGTGGTTGTGCAGCACTGGTGTGCTGCTGTGGGGGTGCTGGAGGTGCTGGAGGTGCTGCTGTGGTTGTGCAGCACTGGGGTGCTGGGGGTGCTGGAGGTGCTGCTGTGGTTGTGCAGCACTGGTGTGCTGGGGGTGCTGGAGGTGCTGCTGTGGTTGTGCAGCACTGGGGTGCTGCTGTGGGGGTGCTGGGGGTGCTGGGGGTGCTGCTGTGCTTGTGCAGCACTGGGGTGCTGCTGTGGGGTGTGCTGGGTGCAGCACGGGTGTGGGACATGCTGTCCAAAAGATGATGTACATACTGGATGTACTGGAGTCCTTGAGCCCTCTTGCTCAGAGGTGCTCTCTCCTGTGCTTCCCCCAGAATAAGCAGCCCCCAAGCAGGCAGTGAATCTCAGCAGAATAATAATAAATCTTGCACCTTCCCAATGAGATTTTAATTATGATACTACAGTTGGGAGAGGAAATCAAGCTGCAGTGCAGCACTGTATTTACAATGTTATCCACCATCTTTGTCCATTCCCTCTGCATCCTCCTGTTCCAGTAACAATTACACTCTGCTGAGGTGGCCCTGGGCTGCCAAGCAGCTCCTGTGCAGTGGCACGCCAAGCTCTGCAGTTCCTCCATGGTGTGGGGGTCTCGAGGGGTGCTGGGTGGGTGGGCACACAGCGGGAAGGTGCCACAGGCCTGTGCCCACATGTGCCAGCTCTCTGCTGCGCCCGGCCAGTGCCCAGCACTGATGATGTTCCTGTGCAGGGTGAACCAGGACAGTGCTAGGTGACAGCAGTGGGGAGCAGTGGGGTGCAGGCCCGGGTCAGACCCCAGGCTGGGTCTGTGCACCCGTTTCCCTTCAGCAGCTGAGTAGTGGAGGAGGGGGGCAGAAGGGACACTGTGGGTCAGAGGTAAGAGTGGGGAGTAGTGCTGTCCTCTCACTGCTGCCCAGTGTGTGCTTTGCTGCCTGGCTGGGGATTTCTTGTGCCCTGATGCTGCGGTTGGATTTTACTGCCAGCTTCAGGTGCTGGAGTTGAGGGAACTTTTCCTCTGAGAGTTTCCTCCCTGTGTCTGTCAGTGGCTCAGACAGTGCCAAGGCTTCTTCCTGGACTCTGCTAAGACACAAAACCCTTCCAGTGGGCAATTGTTTCCCTTTGGTGCACGCCAGATGATGAGTCCAGAATACAGCCTGTGCTTTCAGAGATGTGCCCTGAACAGGAAAGCCCTCCCTTCCCCTATAGCCCTTGGGTTCATTTTCTTCTCTGGATGTCACCAATCCTCCCATTCACATCGACCTTTGTGGTCATAAGTCACTGACCATTCCTACCCCCTTCCAAAGTCAAGACAGGGTGAGCCTGAACCAACTGCCCGTGGGCACACACCTCCTTAGCACAGCTGGCACGGCCACCTCCATGGCCCTCACTGCATCTCCTGTCCCGGGACTGCCAGCGTTCGCATGCTCTGGCTCTGCCAAAAAAGGGTCTGCTGCCAGCCCTCGCCTGCGGTCTTGTGTTTGTGCAGGGAGGTCAGGGAGCAGCAGTCCTTCTGCCTGAAGGCTGCAGGAGCTTCCCCATGGGCAGTGGTCCAGCAGAGGCAGTGACGCCCCGGGCAGGAAGGAGCAATCCCCGGTCAGCAGTGTCCCCGGGGCAGGTGCGTCACCAGGTATGCCAGCACCCCGCGGCAGGAGCGTCCCGGGGCAGCAACATCCCCAGGCAGGAGGGCGCGTTCCAGGGCAGGAGCATCCCCCCTGGCAGGAGCCTCTCCAGGGGTGGGAGCATACCCCGGCGGGAACCTCTCCCGGGGTGGGAGCATCCCCGGGTGGGAGCCTCTCCCGGGGTGGGAGCATCCAGGGGTGGGAGCATCCCCCGGGGTGGGAGCATCCCCGGGCGGGAGCCTCTCCCGGGGTGGGAGCATCCCGGGGTGGGAGCGTTCCTGGGGCAGGTGCGTCTCGGAGCAGGACCGTGTTCGGGCCGGTGCCGGTGCCGGGGTGGGGCCGGTGCCAGGGCTGGGGCCGGGGCCGCGCCGCGCTCCGCCCGCCCGCGCGGTGCCGGTCGGTGCCGTATGGGAGGAGCCACCGGGCACCGCCGCCCCTGCGCCCCCCCCGCCGCATTTGGCGGCCGCCGCCGCGGAGCAGGGCGCGGGGGGGGATGATGGATCCGCGGCTGCGGCTGCTGACGCCCCGCGCCCGCCTGCCCGCCGTCAATGGAGGAGGACGCTGAGACCCGTAAGATCAGCAGCAGTTTCCTGCGAGACCACAGCTATGCCACGGAAGGTGAGCCCGGCCCGCAGCCCCCGGCCCGCCCGCAGCAGGTGAGGCCGCCCCGCAGCGGCCCCGGCCCCCGCCCGCAGCGCCGCGCGTCGCTCCGCGGCTGTCCCGGGACCGGCGCCGCTGCCCCGGCCCGGCCGCTCAGCTCCCCGCGGCCCCGGGGCTCGGTGCGGGCGCGGCGAAGCCGCTGCGGTGACTCAGCAGCGCCGGGTGTCGCTGGGTGGGCTCCCCGGGCCGGGCCGGTCCCTCGGCGGAGCCGGGGCGCCGAGCGAGAGCCGCCGCAGCAGCGCTCGGGACGCAGCCGCCCAGCCCCGCCGGGCCCCTCCAGGAGCTCCCGCGCCTTCGCTCCTCCGGCTCCGGGAGAAAGGGGGGTCCCGACCCTCCCGCAAGCCCTTCCCCGCTGGAGCGGGGCCCGCGGGGCCGCAGCGATGCGGGGCTCGCCGGAGCCGGAGGGATGCGGGCGGCGGCCGCGGCTCCACGTCGGCTCCCTCAGCCCCTGAGGGCGTTCGCGGTGCTGCAGGTGGCTGGAGCCGCGCTGTGGGTGCGGGAATACGGCAAACGCTGGCGCAGATCTCGTCAATGGAGCAGTTGTTTTGGGGTTATTTTCACTACAAGCCGCTTCGGGAAGGTGTAGTGAAGTGCATCCTGGCTGGTGCGTTGCAGATGCAAGGAGATGCCAAGGCTGTTGCACATGGATAATGTCACAGCCCTGGTGAGGCTCATGGTGCATTTGAAAGTGGTTTCCCATAATAGCTCAAGAGCAGGGAAGATGGTGTGGCCATGTTCGGTTCAGGCACCAGAACATGAGCTCAGCCTGCACATGCTGCTGCAGCCACCACAAAGGCAGCTCCAGCAGCGAGGGGTGAAGGAGGGATGGGGATGGAGCTGCTGTTGCCTCTGCTATCTTCCCTGGTAGCTGAAGAGCTGTCAACTTCACATCAGCTCTGTCACAACGTCCCTTTGCTCTCTCGCTTCAGGAGGAAAGTGCAGCTGATGTAAAGCAAAACGGAGCCCCCACCCTTTCTGGTAGCACTGACACCTTCAATGAGGCTTCAAAAACCAGACTCCATACCAGAGTCTGAGCAGGCTTATTCATAGCTTAATTAGTAGCCAAAGAGGCTTTCACTTACTGTGTCATCTTTATGAGACTTAGAGGAAGCCAGACTTTGGGAATTTTGTCACATGGCTAAAGGAGGATTTATCTAGTGGAAAATCTTTGGCTTGATATAGTAATGGAAAGCGTTGAATACCTGATGAGCCAAATAAATGGTTGTTTGTGTTGCCTGTGTGTAGCTGGAATGGGAGCGCTCAGCGTGACAGCCCCCAGGTGCTGGGAGGGCTTGTCCTGGGCATCCCTGGCTCTGCTGCTCTGCCTGGGAGCTGCACGCTGTGCCTGGGGTCAGCAGGACGTGCCGTGGGGCCAGGTGCCCGTGCCCTGTGGGGCGGGGTGGGCAGGCCTGCCCTGGGGCTGAGTGATGGACCTGTGAGGGGTGGTGTGGGCCGGTGCCTCCAGGAGGGTCCTGTGGCCAGGGTGGGACTGAGCTCCCATACCTCCCAGTTGTCTGGCTCGCATCACCAGGTGCTGTGCTCTCTGAAGGATGATTTTGCTGTTGCTGCATTCTAAAAGGCAGCTGCAACAGCCAGCAAGTGTAAAATGAGGCTGTGCTACCTTGTTGTGACCTGCTGAGAGCTCAGGTTCCCCAGTGGGGAAGGGTGGAGGGTTGAGATGAGCCCGCAGTGATTTCTGCCGGTGAGCCTGGGGAGGCTGGGGATTTTCAGTGGCAAGATCCAGTCTGTCTGTAATCTGTGGCTGTATGCTGGCATTTTCAGAAGGACCTTGTGCGTCGTACTAGGGAACCATAGCAATCCTCTCGGCAGAAATGGAACAGACAGAAGCGTTTGTGCAGCAGATGACCAAATCAGCCGGCGTGATCCCTGCTGCGGTGGCAGGGCAGGGGGAAGTACAGGAGGGGATTTAATGGCTGTGTGTCAGCTGGGAGATTTTATTCCCTTCGTGCTGTCCTTACTCTGTGCAGTGGTTCTGCTAGAGGGAGGCTGACTGCACTTTGAAATGGTAGATTCTGCTAAGATAAAAATTTTAGATAATTGAGTTTTATTTTTTCTACATGTGAAAGCAGCATATGCCTAAAACGCTGTGGTATCTGGTTTAAAAAGAAGAAAATCCTTCCAAACGCTGTGCAGCAAGTGCAGACTTGCTTTGGAAATGAAGGTGTCTCTGGTGTGTCAGCTGAGGGAAATAGCCGGTTATGTAATTTGCTTTAGTGAAGTGTCGTTGTCACTTAAATAGGTCTGGTATTTTCATGCAAATGTGGGGTGAGGATGGTGTTTCACAAGTGCACATTTGAATGCCTTGTTCTCGTGCAGCTCAGAGTACTGCTGAGAAGAAACGGGGCCCTTGTACGAATTCGACTCGTGCTGCCAGGGAGGCGCTGAGGTGCAGCCACGGCCCCAGCTGTGGCACAAGGTCTGCCGGGCACAGCGAGCAGGGCGAGTGGGTTCCAGGGCAATGCCAGCTCAGATCTCAGAGCACTGCTGCAGAACGGCAGATCTCACATGCAAAATGTCCGGAAAATGTGCTTGATTTGTTATTGTTTTGCTTAAGTCTGTCTTCATTGGCAATTCTGCTGAGTGCCCAGACAAAAGTAGGACAAATTGAGGCATTTGAATACAACCATTGGAGCAGCTTCCACTTTTAGCTGTGCTTGTTGGAGATGTGGCCTTAAGGGCCCTTCCTGCCCTTCCTGCCAGCGTGATGCCACAGACAGGAACTCTTCCAGGGTGTGATGGGTGCCTGCACCCCCGGGACTGCTCTGGGGAGGCACTGGCAGGAGTCTCTGAGTGGGGTGTGCATTTTGGGGTGTGTGCTTTGGTCGTTGGCACAGTGCTCCCGTCCCAGGCCCAGCAAAGGCTGTGGGCAGCACCGGCATGGTCCCGCTCTGGCAGCCACGATTTCCAGCATGGCAATGGGAGGAGGAGCAGTGGTCTCACCTGGGCTTCCCGGGGAGTGGCCATGGCCAGGTGGTTGTGCTGTTGGAGCAGGATCCTTGGGAGTACTCATGTCCCACGGCCATGGTGTGGGACCGTCCTGGCATCCCCTGAGGGATGTCTGTGTTTCCCACTGGCTCTGCCGAGGGACTCTCTCCCCTGCCAGCCGGAGTGACCCTGCTGGAGCTGCGTGGCCTTGGGGACATGCCAGGGCTGACCCTGCTGGGCAGGACAGTCATGCACCTTGCAGCCACTCCTGGGCCACTGCATGGCTGCTCCCTGCACCCTTTCCCTGGGTCTGGCTAATGCCCCTGCAAGTCTTTAATCTCCTGAGGGAGTGTTTCCCAAACGGAGTAGGTTTTGCTGTTGTGAAATCTATCACTAAGCCTTTATTTCCTTTTCCTGCTTTAATCTTGTTACGCCCTCTGTAGCTCCCTGTCAGCATCTCAGTCATTCCCACCCTGCCTGTGTCCCTGCCCTGCCATCGTGCTGCAGGAAGGATGCCAGTGCCTCTCTGCCCTGATGCCAGGGAAGTTTGCCTCGAGCTCTCTGTGGTATGGCAGTTGCTTTTTTAAGAACCTGCATGTAGTCTCCAGGAAAGCACCAAGTGAAGCAATTCCCAGTGCTGGGTTAGGGCAAGAGCTGTTGGGTATTTCTGTTGCTGCAAATGATGCAAGTTGTTATTTGGAGATCATCTGGGTTGAGATTTAATTAATCTGGGAACCTCTGTGAAGTTGTTTTATCACATGAGTACTTCAGTTACAAAACAGTCACATCCTTTCTGCTTTTTATTTATACATGTGTGCTGTGCTTAGACATCCCTTCCTGTTCCTGAGCCCGTGCTCCCCCAGGTGGGAAGGACCCACAGACTTGGGGTCCATCCCATACTCTGTCTAATTCGGGATTGCTGCAGAAGCACAGCATAACTCAACTGTTTGCAATGCTCTGCATCAAAGCCGATTTGGGGATGCTTTAATCTCCAGATTAATGAGGGAATAGATGTGCCTAGGGACTCTGTAAGCTAGAGATTACTGGGAGCAGGTAATGATGTGACTGACCCACTGCAGATGGACTGTGAGAAGGGAGCCTGGTCACTGGTGGTGGCTTGCATCTGTCTCTGTCTCCTCAGTTCTGTGCAAGAACCAAGCTGTTGCCTCTCCAGTGCTGGGGAAAGGTGGGTCACTCCCAGCAGGCACCAAGAGCACGCAGAGGGCTCTGGCCCTACAGCCTGGAGTTACCCTGGTCCCTGTTGCTGTGGGGTCTGCGTGTTCTGGGGACCAGCTGCAGCCGGTCAGAACCCAGCACTGGTCAGGCCCTCAAGCCCAGGACCCCGAGCTGTGCTGTGGGTGCTTGCAGGTGATCCTTGGGCTGCCAGCCAGGACAGCCCTGTCAGCAGGTTTTGAAATGGAATTGAGGGCCTTAGTGGAGTGGTCAAGATTTACTAAATGTAGAGAGACCACCTCTGGTTGATGAGCCCCCTGAGCTGAACATTGCAGAGGGCAGGAGAATATTAGTGGGAAGGTTGCATGGTTGCTGTTTGTGCATCACCTGTTGTCTGTTGGAGACAGGACTCTGGGTGGGATGTGCTCCTCATCTGACCAGCAGGCTGCTCCTGTGGCTGCTCCTGGGAACAGGGTCTGCAGGGCTTTGCCAAACCCCTGACGCCTCCTCCCAAAAGAGCTGGTGAGATCTGGTGCCTGAAGGTCAGTAGGTGGGAGGGCTTAATGCCGTGGCAGACGAGGTAATCATCAGCCTGCCTAGCTCTGCAAGCTGGAGCAGGGGTGTACCCCTGCCAGCAGGCACAGAATCATGCAGTCATTAGGGTTGAAAAAGACCTCCAAGATTATTGAGTCCAGACTTGCTTGTTAGTGATTGGCTGGGGGAATAAATGCTTGTGGAAAAAATCCTTTGAGAATATGGTGCGAGCTGCTGGATCGCTCGGAATGCTGCTGCGTGCGTCGGTGCCCCCCGTGCGGCTGTGAGAGGGTGCCGGCCGGGCG